AGATTTTATATTATTGTCTTTTGTTCTCATTGCTCTATCTAATGTAATTGGTTCCGAAAATCTCAGGTCTGCCAGAGTCTCTCAGGGTCTAAGTTAAGAGGTGGTTTTCTTGAAACAGAATGTGGATTATATACTCAGCTAACACAGTTGGCAGAAAATGAAACTAATCATCTTAGGGCTTTGGAGACTTGTTTTTACAGTCAGAGGGGAAAGATGAGAATTAGGCTGGAGTATAAGCTGGCAGTAATGATATCTACACTCTGGTAACCAGCTCTGGCTTGAATTAACTATAGGTCTTTGGATACCCTTTCAAAGTACATGAAGTTTAGTTTCTTCTTTTGTAAAGTGAAGGAACTTTATACTTCAAATGCTAACATCCTGTGAACTCACAGAACTTTGACAATTGAAAAGCACATTTGAAAACTCTCCCAGGGTTCAGTGAGATGGCTTAGCACTTGCTCCCAAGCCTGACATCTGGAGTTTGGTCCCCAAAACGCATGTGGTGGGAGGAGAGAACTAGAACTGAACACCTCAGCACACCACACATCCAACATTGTTTTTTTTTTTTTTTGGTTTTTCGAGACAGGGTTTCTCTGTGTAGCTTTGCGCCTTTCCTGGAACTCACTTGGTAGACCAGGCTGGCCTCGAACTCACAGAGATCCGCCTGGCTCTGCCTCCCGAGTGCTGGGATTAAAGGCGTGCGCCACCACCGCCCGGCCCAACATTGTTTTTAAGAAGGGCTACCTTCCTCCCATCTTCAGGCTCTTTCCTTACCCCAGGAATTGTTTCCTTGGCTGTGCGGAAGCTTTTTAATTCGGTTGATTTGTGCTAGTTTGTCCTCAGTTACTGAAAACCATTGTCTGTGTTTATATCTGGAGGTGTTTTCCATATGATTTCTTCTAGCGTGTCGCTCTTTCATGAAAGGCTTTGACACACTTGGATCTTTGTAGAGAATATAGAGGAAGGGTCTAATTTCAGTCTTCTCCATTTGTGAAGGTGGTGTCTTCTGTCTAGTATGTGCTTTGAGAACCTTGGTCAAGCATCGGTGGCTGTAGCTATTTGGGTTCACTTCTGGGTCCTCTGCTCTGTTCTCTTGCACTCTGTGACAGTTCCCGTGACTGTACAATGTTGGTTTGGTTGCTATGGCTTCCTAAACTAGATGCCATGTTCCTTCCCGCGCTGCTCCTTTTGCTCAGAATTGCTTTGGCCATTCAGAGTCTTTTGTGCTTCTACTTGAATTTCCTGATTCTTTTTCTCTAGTTCTGTGAAGAATTTTGCTGGGAATGCTATGACATCAATATTCAGAATATATAAAGAACTTGAAAAGTTAAGCACTAAAACATAAATTTAAAAATCTGTTTTCAATATAAGGAAAAATAATTCAATTAGTACATAAGCAAGTGAATTAAAAAAATTATCAAAAGAAGTACAAGTAGCCAATAAATATATGGTGGGGGAAACACCTAAATCCCTTGACTATAAAAGAAATCAAATTAAAACCACACTGAGATTCCAGCTCAGCCCCCTCAGAATGGCTATTATCAAGAAAAAAAAAATGCTTCCAAGATTGCAAGGGGGAAACAGGACCCTTATATAGTGTTGGTGGGGAGGTAAATATGTCAGCCACCATGGAAACAACGTGGAAATTCCACACAAAACTAAGCGTAAAGTCAAGTAAGATGGCTCAGCAAGTAAAAGCAGTTGTCACATGTTTGGCAACCAGAATTCCATCCTTGGAGCCCACCTGCAGGTGGGAGGAGAGACCCCTGACCCACTGAAGTTTTCCTTTGACCTTCACACACGTGCCATGGCCCACATGCCCTCCCCTCACATATCATGCAGACACACACAAAACAATAACTTTTTTAAAACCAAGAATAAGGCTACCACATGATCCTGCTGCATACTACTCCTGCGTATAGGCAGAGGACTCAATCAGCATACAGTAGAAATACCTGTACATTCTTGTCTATTGCAACACTGTTTATAATAGCTAAATTATGAAATCAGCCTAGAGGCCCATTAGTGGAAAAACGGGTAAAGAAAATGTGTATATATGTGGGGAATCAGTCAACCATAAAAAATTAAATTGTTATTTTCAAGAAAGTAGATATGGAACAATAGATATAGACCACTTTTAAGTGAAATAAGCCACTCTAAAGGACAAAATTTTTGTTTTGAGGGAGCTAATATGGGCAGAGTACTTTGTATAGATGTATGACCATGTCGTGATAAAACCCATCACTTTGTGCAAATAATATGTACTAGTATTTTAAAATTTTATCTTTAATTAAATTTTAACATGTTTTAATTGACATAGAATTACATCAATTTCCGCCTCCCTTTCCTTACTCTAGCCCCTTAAAGTACCTGCCTTCCAACAACCCCCATGTCTCCCCCATTCTCAAGCTGATGGTGTCTTTTTCTTTGTTAAATACATATATGTGTGTATGTATATACACAAATATAAACATAGAACTTGCTGAGTCTGTTTTTGTTGTTTGTGTATTCATTGGACAACCAATAGGGTGCTCATCCCTGAAAGGGTCTAATTTTCCTTCTCCCAGCAGTCATTAGTTACCTATGACATTTTAAAGGTGGCTGGAGAGAGGTACTGAGTGCATACTACTCTTCCAGAGGGAACCCAAGTTCCAGTTCCCAGCACCCACATCGGATGGTTCATGATCACATGTAGCTCCACCTCCATGGGACTCTAATGCCTCTGTCCTCTGCAGACACCGGCAGCACTAGCCCTGGTGTACATAACTCCCCCCCACACACACACAAGATATATATTTAAAGTAATAAAAATCATTTTTAAAACATAAAATGCATTTTAAGAACTTAACTTTCCCCTTGAAGGACAAAAAATATTAATTAATTGGCTTACTTTGCTCATTACCAGAAAAGTACAATTATTTTTTATTACTTTTGTTTAGTTATAATTAAAATTCCTGAGAGAACAACTTGAAGGAAAAAGAGTTAATCTAGCTCCCTGTTTCAGAGGGTTCAGTCCATGGTCATTTGGCCCCATGCACTTGGGAAAGACATCATGACAAAAGAAGTATACAGATTTTTTTTGATAATAGCAGACAAAAGTCAGAGAGAGGAACCTTTAAAGGCACATACCATAGGGCCTACTACATACAGCTAGGCCCATATTCACCAAAGTTTTCACATCGCCCCAGATAGTGCTACCAGCTGTGGGTTAAGCATTTGACACATGAACTTTGGGAGCCATATCATATTTAAGCTATAAAAAAAATTCTTGTATGACATCATTTAGTAAACTTATGTTAAAGCCTATGTTAAAGGCACTGTGTAAGCTGATTAAAATGAAAAGATGAACAAGACATAGCTCTGTGTCTCAAAGAGTCTGTCATCTGGTGAGAGAGAGATCTGGGTAGATGAACAAAATTCCGACATAGTTCATTAAGTGCTATGATATAAGTCAGAGTTGAGAACAAAAATTCTCTAACCTAGCCAGGTGGTGGTGACACTTGTCTTTAATCCCAGCACTCAGGAAGCAGAGGCCAACAGATCTCTTGAGTTCAAGGCCAACTGGTCCATATATCAAGTTCCAGGAGAGCCAGAGCTACATAGTGAGAACCTGTCTCAAAAACAAAAACAAAACTCAAACCTGAATGAACATTAGAATTTTCTGAGGCTCTTACTAAAAATTACGTTGTTGTTTTTTTTTTTTTTTTTCTTAGCTCTCAAAGATCTTGATTTAAATCACCTGGGAAGTGACCTTGTGATATGCTATTTTTCAGAGTCTACAAGGAGATCCCAGTACACAGGATTAAAAACCACTGGGAGAGAAAAAGATAATAAACTTAGTTCTTAAGAAAAATGGAGGCCGGTCATAGGGGTGCACATCTTTAATCCCAGCACTTAGGGAGCTGAGGCAGAAGGATCTCTGATTTACATATCGAGTTCTAGGAGAGCCAGAGGTACATAGTGAGACCCTGTCTCAAATAAATAAATAAATGAAATAAATAGAAAAGAAAAAAAGGAGACATGGCTCTGTAGGTAAACCCTTGTTGTACACACACACAGGGGGTCCAAGGTTCCCAGAACCCATGTAAAGCCAGATGTGGTAGTGCGTACCTCTATTCCCAGCACTCCCACAGCAGAGTGGGAAGTGGAGACAGGAGAATTACCCAGAGGCTAATTCTCACACCAGTTAGCCTTGTCTCTACACCCATGATGAATAACAGAGCCTGTCTCAAATAAGAGGGAAGGGTGACCTCTGACCTCTACATGTACACCACAGCACATGTGCACACCCACACAGAGATTAAAGAAAAAGGGGCAGTGTCAAGGAGAAAAGAGTTTTTTTGGCTTTGTACCTTGAACCCATGATGCACCGGGGGAACTGGAAATAGTTCTGTAGAGCTTACTCTAAGACTGTGAAGAAAAGGGAAACTGAAAGATGAGACTGGAGAGCTAAGCAGGAGACGGATCAACTATTGTCTGTGAAGGATTTGGACTTCATAATAAAAGGGGTGTGGAGTGACCTGATCTCATTTCTCGTTTAGAAAAAATAGTTTCTGTGGTATTGTGAGGGATGGATTAGAGATCCTGGAAGCAGGAAAGCCAGGTAATAGACTGTGGTAACAGAGTAGGCAGAAAGGGAGGCCTAAACTAAAAACATAATGCTGGAGAGTACAAGATATTCAAGGACTAGGTAACAAGGACTAGATAACAAGCAATGTGATGTGAGAGAGTAAGAGCCATCTAGGGAATGTAGTTTTCCTTATTTTCTACCTAAAGCTTACTTGTCAGCAGTGAATTAAATACTTCAGAGGTAGAAAATAACTTTCTATGAACTTAACGATAACCAATGTGATTTGAATCCAGTCATTTCATCCCAAATTTACCAACGTAATCAGAGGCAGTTTACAATCCCTAAATGACTGAAGTCCCAACAGGCTTAGGGCCAAATGTGCAACGTTTCTCCCCTCAGATTGGTGGTAGACTGGGAAACGGAACTAAAATCAAGGTTTGAGAGATTTTAATGAACAGAAATGGCTGTACCTAGTCTTTAACTCTGTCCAAAGCAAATGGAGTGAAAGCCTTCTAATCCTTCAGAACTTCATCTGGCATTGACCTCAGAAAAAAGAGCCTCTCTCCAACATCATCAGACTGACTCTCTCTAGTTCCTTCTTGCTGTTCTGTGTAGTTCTTTGATCTTGGGATTGTCTTTAAAATAGAAGGAGAAGGACAAGAGGGGAAACATTCAAAGGAGTGCTTTGCAAATATAAAAAAATAATAAATTAGAATGCATTTTAAATGCATTGCAGGGCTGGCTTGTTGCTTATGATCAAGCTCTTGGCTGCCATGCACAAGGCCATGGGCTGGATCCTGAGCATGGCAAAAGTAGATCAATAAATGTATAAACAAAGAAATGTACTGCAAAAATCTATACCCATTATCCAAGCCTTTTAAAATTAGAGTTTGTTTTTTGTTTTTTTGTTTTTTTTTTAATAAAGGAAAGCTGTTCTCTCACCATATCGGGCTCATTTCTGTTGGTTGGTGCTTTCTCCATAGTTGTACCCATTTTACCTGATGGAAGACATTGGAAAATGAGGGTTATTAACGTTCATCATGGCATTGCTTAATTGTACAATGGGACAGATAGTAGCATTGATATGAGTTTTCAAGTCATTCTAGAAAATAACAGACTATTTCAAAGTTGGGGTGGTAGGCCTCTTTTTTCTATTGAAAGCTTATGTTCTATAGTGGGAAAACTTGTTTGAGAATTACATGTAAATAAAAACCTTGAGAATCTTCAGAAATGAAGCCCTAACATTTAAAAGAAGTGGGATGATAAACCAAGTCCATACATATATATATGTGTGTGTGTGTGTGTGTGTGTGTGTATACATACATACATACATATACATACCCACTGTGATAAGCTAGACATATTACTGCACAAGAATAGTCATGTAGTAAAGAACAAAACACCAAGGTGGGGTTCAGAAAGAGAAAGCAGCAGCAGGGAGGATGTCAGATGCAGGCTGAAATGGGAGGCAAGAAGGGGAGAATTGTAGGGTGCTTCATAGTCAGCATGTCTAGGGTAGGTCTAAACGAGAGGAACTCTGTTCAATTTGAATTTCAGCATGCACCAGTGATTTTTAGTACACATTCCATGCAAAATTTGAGACACTGATAATAATTATTCATTGCTTAGCTGAAATTCAAATCTGTGTCTTAAAAAAAAAAAAAAGAAAACATCCTGCTCCTCTCCTGAGCACTTGATGTGAACAGGTTGAGTCATTGTCATCCATGAAAACTGTCTTAATCAGGGTGCAGTTTACTTTTTAAATTTTTTACTAAATTCGTATTTAGAAAAAAAACTGACTTTATTCTTCCTGTCTGGACTTCTGTAAGATTTTATGGAAAACAGAAGGAATTACAAATCGGTTTTATCACCTTTTAATACCACAAATACAACTTTAATGTTTCGAGGGTTCATGTTGCCTCAAAGCTTATAGAATAGTTAAGATAAATACTCTTTGTGAAAGCTCTAGATTTCAACCAGTTGTGGTTTGTGCCTCTGCCTCCCAAAATTTGAGCCATCAGGATGAGGAATGAATGAAGTGAAGTAAAGGTGAGAGGAAGACCTTGCTTTCAGAACAGAGAGTTAGTGCGTAAGTAAGTTCTCAGGCATATTCATTTTCCACTTCAGTGGGCTTCCATGTCAATTTACAAATGTAGCACAATCTCTCCATCCAGACTTCAGGTCCTTCTCCTAAGGAGAACCTTCCATCTCTGCTCAGAAAGCTCAAAGAAATGCTGAGAAGAGCCTGGGATGTGGGAGACGAAAAGTAAGACTGTCAAAATCAAATAGCTTATCACAGATACGTTATCGCTGAAGACAAACCCTTAATTCTCTAAACATGAGCAGGTGTGATGGGAGATTCATCTGAATTTAGAGATTGCTTGGTGCCTGTGTTTTCTAAGATAAGTGATTAGCAAAGGCTACAAACTGCAGTTTTGACATTGTGCATGCCAGGAAATGAGGGGTGACACAAACCCTGAGCCAAATTATAAGAAGCAAACTCCTTCACTTGTGACCTGTCTCTGGGGGGTAAAGAAAGGAAAGACTATCCCTTAGTGAAAACAACAGAAACATTTTTCTTGTAGAAGATCAGATGACGCCCAGAGCTAAGACTCTGGTGATGCTGAGTTCCAGGCTTCAGGGAATTTCTCAACTAGGAATTGCTTGAACTGTAACAAAGTCTCTAGTATTTGCCAACAAAATAGAAGGCAGCATTAACTCAGCCAGACTGCCCACTGAACAGGGAAGGAGGGATTCTTGGCTAAGACCATTGGAGCAAAACTTCCTTCTACTTGGAAATATCTGAAAAGGAAAGACCTGTGTTTGCCTGATTAGCCTAGGAGGTATGTTCAAAATGACACGCCACCCTTCCTCTACGACAAGTTTAAGCAATTCAGTTCTTTTGAAACTAGAAGAACCAGAACGCCATCCAAGAGGGCTATTAAGTACTTAACCTTCAAATAGTCCTTGTGTAATAGCCCAGCCCCTTTTTACTTCATTGCCCTAATTGCCTGACTTATTTGTGGCAGAGAGAAAAAGTCTTCGACCAGAACTATGGAGGAAGTAGGCAATTGCTTTTGTTTTTTGTTTCTTTGTTTGGAATTGGGTGAAGGATATAGTTCAGAGAGGGGAATAATAACAGTTAAGAGTTTTACAACAGAGTACCGAGTTTAATGTTTAATCAAGGCTGCCAGTAATACATCTTGGTGCCACATAGCATGACACAAAACATCAATAGGTTCTTTTCTTCGTTTTTCATTTGCTATATAAATGTGGCACATTTTGTCCTAAGGGCAATAGAAAACCAGTCTCCTACAGCATTCACGTTTCCTGAATTACCATTTGTTATGGACTTGGCATAGATGTGGTTGGTGCCACCTACCGGACTAAATACATAATTACAGGCCTCCCAACCCATTTGTAAACATTCTTTGAAAACAGCCTTAGGGACTATGATTCTTCATTGGGAGGATGATACTATAAATAGCTAAGTTTGGATTCCCATCACAGTTTTTAGGACTGGAAGAGGCATAATAAATCAAACTTTCACATTGCCATTATATCATTCAGGCCAGAACCCCAGCTTTAACTAGGGACACAGAAGCCTGACTTTTCTGAGTTTGCTTGTTCCATATTTCAGATCTTCCAGTGTCATTATAAGGGTTACACAAAGTGGTAAGTTTTAAATGTGCCCTGGTACATGTGAGGGTTGTAAATATTAGATACAGAAATATTGAAATCAAATAACTTGCCCATGGCATGTAAGGGCTACAACACATACATCTATTTGACCCTAGAGCCGTGGCTTTTCCCATTAAATTAAAATTTCTCAGAGTTTGATAGTGAAATAATTTTAGGTGGCACCTGTAATAAATTTAAGAGGTGTTGTAACATGTCTTCAGATCCTGTAAATCACAGTGGGGAAAAATTGTTTTTTGAAACAAACTCTCCACCAGGCAGGCCTGGCCCGCCAGTGCCTTATGCCTCCACCTCCTACCTGCTGGGATCATAAACAGTTGCTTCTGCACCCAGCTCAGTTATTCCCTTCCCAATGCTTTGGACTTGAGAGCACCACGGAGAAAGTTCAAAGTTGGGCCTGGTTTCTTTAAAATGATCGGTCTTGTTAATCTTACTTTCCAGTTATGATGAAACAGGCCCCAGGCTTGACCATCTTTCTAGGATGAATTTTTTTGTTTTGTTTTTGTTTGTTATTTGTTTTGTTTGTTTGTTTGTTTTTGTTTTAGTAAGTTTACTGGTGAAAGCTATATTGTTTTGTCATTTAGTAATTCAAATTTTGTGCCGGAGCATGGTAGCTCCTGCCTGTAACGCTGGCTCTTAGGAGGTTGAAGTAGAGGGATCACTGCAGGTCTAAGGTCAGCATGGGCTACATAGTGAGATCCTGTTTTGTCTTGTTGGGTTTTTTTTTGTTTGTTTTGTTTTGTTTTGTCTTGTTTTTTTGAACTTTCTTTTTCAAGAAATGCATGTATGAAAATGAAATCAACTTGAGTGGCAAAAATGAGTAAATAAGCAACAGTCTAGAGAAGTTGAAAACAGTAATACTACCACACTACTTCCCTATTGTTGATTATAGTATGTTTATTTTAACAATTTTCCCATTGTCTTAGTTTGTTTTCTGTTGTGAGAAAAAACATTCTAACCAAAAGCAACTTGAGAAAGAAAGGGTTTGTTTGGATTACAAGTCCAAACCACCTTCTATCATGAAGGGAAGTCAGGGCAAGAGTGCAAGGCAGGAACTTAGAGTCAGGAATTAAAGCAGAGACCGTGGAGGAATGTTACTTACTGGCTTGCTCAACCCACTTTCTGATACAACCTAAGACTACCTGTCCAGGGGTAGCACTATCCACAGAGGACTGGCCCTTCCCAGATCAGTTATTAATCAAGAAGATGCCCCAAAAGATATGTCTACAGGTCAATCTGGTGGAGACATTTTCTCAGTTGAAGTTTCCATCTCCCAGATGACCCTATCTTGTGTCAAGTTGACAAAAACAAAAAAACAAAAACAAAAACAAACAAACAAACAAAAAAAAACTAACCAGTACACCCACCATAAGAACTAGCACTTCTGGGTTTTTTTATAATAAAAAAAAAGTAGTTTATAAATAAGTCAATATAACCCAAATCTATGACTGTTAGATTTCAGATCCATTTTGGCTCAAATAAACCAAAGGATATTGAATATGTGTGAGCACATAGTCTCTGCTCAGTGACTACAGTCAGTAAACCATGGGACCAATGGATGGCTCCTGCCGATGCCTCTGGTAATATGTAGTGGCTGAGCGCTATAGAAACCTATCACTTCATTTGCTAGAAGTGAAAGAGAAGAGAAAGTATGGATCTATGGACTGCCCCAGTTCAAACTGATTGAGTGTGCTGTAAGTGAGTGTGTGTAGGGGAGTCTCCAGAGGCACTCAGGATGAATGGAATCACTAATGGGGGACTGACTTAAATCTGGAATTTAAAAAACTGTTTCCTTACTCTGTGGACCCCTTGAGATGATCTTTGGCTAATTTTCAGTGACACAAAATCACAGCTGTCTGTTTTCCTCATACTACTTCTTTGTCTTTTTAAATTTCTATGTTAATGACTTACTGCCTCAAGGCTCTTGCCAACTTCCTGCTGTCCACTTCTTCTCAAAATATAAGTAGAATGAAAAATATGTGTGGAACTCTGCCTGGGACATGTAGTCCATCCACTTTTCTAGATTTTCCAAATTTTACCTATTGAAGAAGATAGAGTACTGTGTACCTAGACCAAATCATGCTCAGTTGTTGCATTCTATTAAAAAATTTCACAATAATGACTTCTTACCATATTGTATCAAGGAACAGATAAGACACAGTCTGGGGACTTTCGATTCTGGATTAATTTTGGAACTATTATTGAGGATATGGACTACTGACCTTTCTATAGTGAAGTCTTGTTTCCTCTATGAAGGCCTGCAGGAGAAACCACTCTCATGTCTCAGTACCATGAAAGTCTGTATTTGTCCTGATCAACTGCTTTGTTGTTACTTCATGAACACTGACAATCCATGTTTGCTGGTGAATTCAGAACCAAATGTATAACCTACCTTCACTAACTAAATATCACTTCTGTCGTATATTATCATGTTTTGACAAAACGTATCTTCCTCCTCACCTATTTATTTAATCATATGTGTTGTGTGGGATTTTTATAAGACATTCAAGTCCTTAATGGACTAAGACTGAGAAGAAATTAGATACATGTGTACCGATACCGGTAAAGCATTGCTACTCTTGGGACAGGATTTCTCATGGCATGTCTCTTCTTAAAAATAAGACTTCAGATTAATAGATCCTTGAAAATTTAAGAATTCTTTCCCTACACATCATAACCATTATTTTACTTTTTATGAAATACTATGATTTCCTATGATACTGGAACATCTTTAGGGGAAATCACTGACATTTCCAGAAATACATCTGAATTAGTGAATTCAGAGCCCTTGCCAACTATCTCCTACGCCTTCAGCTCTGAAGTAACAGTCTATCCAATATGACTTATGAGACCAGTTCTAGTTCTAGAGGTAGGGGGTAAAAGTGAAAAGAAACTAAATATTTTTTAATGTCAACTGTTATCGTCTACATATACTAAGGATATGGTATATTTATGCTTACAAAGGAAAACTTAATTTCTTCCACAAAGAACCCTTATCTTAATACAATCATTACTGAATACTGTTATTAATGATGATAGTGAAAAAAATGTATCTACACCACATTTAACTTACACTGTGTGCCAGGGTACTGTGATGCTCACTGTTAATAATGGGACCTTCAGGGTAACAGACAAAACAAAACCTCCAACGATGTACCTCTGATACTCTACCCACCTTGAGGCCTCAGAAGATTCAAAGCTTCTTGCATTGGCTCAAAATTATGCTGTAGGTACAGTGATAATTTTAGGTCATTTGCCTTCTGGTAGTTCCTCAAGGCTTCAATTCTCAGCTCAATCACTTTGCCATGGAAGCCATTCTGAAAGAGGACATTTTTCAAAACATTCACAATACTGACTTTTCTAAATTTACTATTACCCGTGTTTCTTTATACAGATGTTAAAAAAAATAAAGCTCTCATTTTTTTTGTCTTTTAGAGTTAGGAAGATATTATATGTTATTTTTCCCCAATTTCAAATAGTACAAAATCAAAAACATGAGAAGAAGTATTTATTCCAAATTATGCAAGGTAAATCCAGAGATAGGTGACTTCAGCTCTTTCCCACAATCCATTTCTTTTAACAGGTGATGGAGGATGTGAGAATTGACCTTAACAATATGAAGTTAAAAGCTTTTATATTGTATGAATAAATGGATCCCATGGTCAACCTTGGAAAAACCTTAGTACCTGAAGGATGTTGGGATGTTCCTCATATTTGACCCATTCTATTTTCCTCTGTTGCTTTTCCTGGTGGAAGAAAGACCTTCTGGGTGACAAAGTAAATTGAGATAAAGATCAGTTTTCTCAATATCCTGCAACAGCCTTATAGCAAAATTATAGTATCATAGATTCCCTGTTAGGTTGGTTTTTATTTCACAGTCTTCTTGATTTGACCTCCCCATATAGTGCATTCTCTAAAAGCTAAGAGATTAATGAACAGTTCATTTTCTGTGAATGATTTTTTGGGGGAAGATGAGATGCAAATGTAGTATCTCTAAATAAATTTCCACAATAAATTAACAAGTGCTCTGTGTGTATGGAATTGTCATTGTCGGTATGGATTTTCTCATTTTAAGATAGCTAACATGATTTTGCAGAAACCTGTGATGCTAGCTAACATAAATATAGTATCCCAAAGATATGACATTGCTTTTGAAATTTGCATCAATTTAGGAGCACAGCACACCTTAAGCAGATGATTTATCAGTTGCAAAAGTCACTATGCTCAGAGTGGTTGTGTTCCTACCCTCCCTCTCTCCTCCACATTCTCTGCATCTGATGTCTCTGGCTCACTCTTGGCCTTCCTCAATGATACGGGGGATTCCAGAGCCTAAGAGAGAACACAAGAGCTAAAGGGACAGATGATTCAGGATGGGAAAATGCAGTTTCTTGGCAGTCTACAAATCAAATATACCCTAAAAGTCCTGGTCCCCAAACTAACCCTGATTATTAAAGGGCAGTTCCCAGCTGTCTGTCATCAACTTCGATGACATTCTCAGTCCACTCACCTTTCCATCTTTCAAGTCTGCTTTGGGCTTTGTTGGTACTGCTTTCTGTTGATCCTGGAGCTCTTCTGACTCAACTGTCTGTGGAGAGACATTTTGGCAAAGCTTTAAATTAGTGGTAATTATGAAGTCAAGGCTTTTGGTTCCTGCCAGTCAGCAACTTCTCAGGGCTCAAAATGGAAATCATATACCTACAACAGGGGATTCAAAATGGTTCCTTCCTGTTCCTTATAATAATGACAACTATGAAGTGAACCCGTATAATATACCACTGACAGCTGAGTTTCTCACCTCATCACTGACTTTCACTACTACATTACAGTCCTTGTTTGATCATCACAACTCTGGGGACTGTTTCTGCTTCCATTTTATCATTGATGAAATGGAGACTTTGAAAGGTTAAGCCACCTGTTAATTGTCATGCAGCTGGGGAAGCACAGGAAGCTAGAGTTAAAACCGGATTGTTCTGACTCTGAAGCCTCTGTTCTCAGCCATTGTGAACAATTTGAAATGTGAAAATGTTGTAATAAAAATATATGTCACAGTTAAGAAAGGAAGAGGAAAGAGGGGAGGACTTTTAAGAGGGGAGGCTGGAAGCTGGGTACAGACCAATTAAGTCACAGGAGGGTGGCCTGTCAAGGGTTTTCATCGGGTGACAAAAGAAATACTTTCAGTGTTTTTAAAAGATGACTTTTAAATTGTTTTGCAAATGGAGCAGGACTGGAGGAAGAGACATGAAACACTGAAGATGAAGAGCCAGAGGAATGAGAGGCTCTTTGCATTATCTGTAGGACAATCCTTTTGAGAGATCCTTAGAGGCACACCTTGTTCCATAGCATCTCCATTTCCTTCCGGAGCATCTTGTTTTTCTTTTCCTATTAGAAGAAGAAGAACCAAACAAACAGATGTGTTTGTCCGACAGTTAAATCAAGTTAGAAAAAACAGCTGTCTAATTAATGGTAGGAAGGGGATTTGCGGACACAATAAACCACAAAGGAAGATAATAAATGGACCTAGCATTTCGTACAGAAACATAAAAGATGATTTTGGATGATGATGATGATGACAGTGGTGGTTAAAAAGTTATTTCAAGAAATAACTTTTTATGGTGGTTGTGAGATGTATCAGAAATAAATTCTTAACATTTAAGGTGCTTGTATATGACAGTCCCTTGAGGATTTAGAGCATTAACTTCTAATTTTTAAAGATTCTTTACATATTGACTTAAAAAAGATCTGAGACTTTCAAAACAAACTTTTTTCTTTTAATTTGATAGGTATTTCTAATCCTTAAGAGTTAATATGCTTATATCCATTAACCATTAAATGAAACTTTCTTTTTTAGGTCAAAAAAGTAGAATCTTTCTAGCTAATCCTTGTTCTTTCCAACATCCAGCCTGATTTCCTTAGCATCACCTTGGATTTCCTAGATCAAAGAGATACACATTGTTGAAGCATCAGAGGCTAGAGATGAGCATCTGTTACTTCTGTACGTGTCAACAGCGGTTCAAGAAGCCATGCCCTGTATCTACTAACTACATCTCACCAGGTTCTGTTTCATCTCCTCTGCTTCCTTAATAAGCTCCATGACTGAAGATTCATCACATCCTTTCCCTGCCATGATTTGCCTCATGATCTGCAGACTAGAAGAAAAGAGAGAAATCATAAAGTTTACATGCCCTTTAAAACATAAAGTTAATATCTGCAATCTTAGTCAGGAAGTAGTCTTCATGGAGGTTCATTGGGGGCTCAAATCCTAGGAATTAGAGAAGTCTTGAACATTGAAAGTCTCTGTCACTAGCATGATTCCATTCCTAATTGACATTAGGTCTAGGTATGTGATCAGTAGTGAATTCTGTGCTCTTTAATATCAAAACGAAGGTCTCTAACAACCACTGAATGTACTTTCCACTCTGAAAAGAATGTTTTAGTATATGACTTGAGTGAAGGACTGTTTCAGCCTCTGTATAGAAGAATTTGGAAACCTTGACATCTTTCAAATTAGTTTCAGAACTATTCCCTGTCTCACATGTAGGATAGATCCACTTCCTTCTACCCCTGTGAGTATCCAGCTCAGATTCAGTATCAAGTCTGACTATGAGAAGGATACTGTTTAAAGGCAATCATTAATTTATGTTTGTGTTGTCTTTTTTTCTCTCTGGACCTGAGTAGAATCCCCCCCGGGGTGTAACATGCTCTCTTGCCCCAAGAGAAGTCTGTACCACCCCCACCCCCACCACCCCCACCCCCGCCCCTTGTAACATGCTCTCTTGCCCCAAGAGAAGTCTATATTGCTGGTTTGCTAACAGCTGATGTTTGACCACCCCTTGCTGGTTTTTGTTCTCCTGAAGTCTGAGTTCCTTAAGGGCTTGGGATAAGGATATAGAAAGAAGACAGATCAACTGAAGTGGCATTTTCTATGACCAGAAAGGAAACAGAGACTTAGTAGTTCCTAAGAACAATGGCTGTTCTAACAAAGATTTCAGTTCTCAGATGCCTAGGAATGACTCCCCAACCCAGACAGTTCCCAGGCTCAGAAAAAAATCATCACTCTTCTGCTTAGTATAGAAGAGCAAGTGTTTCTCCTAAAATAATTCTACCAACATAAATGAGCAAAAATATATCAGTGATCAGCATAACAATGATGGACCTATATGATTAAAGGCATTTACCTGTTTCTTGGGTGGGCATAGGAAGAGTAACTGTAGCTTCATAAGATGAAGAAAATCATACTTATTTTAAAAAATAAAGGATTCCTATGTACCCTGCTTTTGTAGTGATAAATGCTTTTATATTCTACTGGAAATGAAAGCCCCAATTTAAAGAGAAAAACAAACAAATCAGTGATTTGTTTATTTTTAACTATTTTATTTTATTACTAATCTATGGTGGTTGCTTTCTCCAGCCTTTCTCTCTTTAGGATACTGAGTAGGAAGCCATACCTTCTTTGTTTTTCCTCCAAGTTAGCCATTAGCTTCTGGAGTAAGAGAGTGTTCTTATCTTCTAGAGGTTTTAGCATCTCTAGAAGTTCCTGCTTCCTTAACTTTAAGTCTTCATTCAATTCTTTCAAGTAGTTGTCATCCATTCTAGGATTCCTGTGGGAAGAGATACAGTAATCTATCTTTAGCTTGGGTAAATAAAGACCCTTTCCCCTTCCTAGGTAGCTGCCATTTGACTTCCCCCATCAAAGACTCACTTTTTTGAGGACAAACAAGATTCTGAAGAGTTTGTACCACTTGTCATCTTGAAGGGAAATTCTTGAAAATATGTGCCTTCTTTTCCCGACCAGTTAAGACATCATTTTGTGCTGCTGTTCTTGAAGCTCCTGTTGCATTGGACTGATTTGAGCTACAGCTTGAGGTCACAATGGCACCAAGACCACAAAATAAGCAGAGCTTCAAGTAGCATCAGTAGCTGCTTGATGACTGAAAATACTGAACTACAAGATTATTTCCTGTCTTAGGTTTAGGCAAATTCCCCAAATGTTATTCAGAAATCTTTGAATGAATGGGATGGAATCACAGCCAGCGTACCTGCATTATAAAACACTGTTGGATTAGAAAATAGTGACTTATCAAAAAGAAGTCGTCAACACCATGGTAACGAACCTCTGTGGAAAGCCTGCTGCTCAAAATGCTGGATTCTGTGAGTGAGGAAAAGGTAAAAAGATAACAGCACCGATTTCTAGGAGTTTGGCTAAGGAAAAGATACTTCTAACCAACATTTAAAAATGGACAGAGGTTAAACTGGCCAACACTATGAGTGTAATGGAGTAATAGATGAACTGCTGTCATTTCCCCCCTGATCTTTGAAACTCCCATTATGTCAGCTGGATGTGGTGAGTCACACCTATAATCCCAACACTTTGATCTAATGTCAAGGGGAAAGAATATTGGGCATATAGGGGGAGGAGGTAGTTTGGAAAGATCCATACTGTCAGGGGTCTTCCCCAGCCAGATTCTGTTCTGGAGGGCTATACTTCCTGGGCTCACCTCCACAGATTGACTCTGACTCTGTTATTCAACCTGCATTAGAACCACATATCTTTTGGATTCTTAAGATTGACTCTCTTATCTATGTTATTTAGGAAGTAGAAGATAGTCCAAAGGATTATACATTTTTAAATGTGCCCTTTGAAAAAAGTTTTATGGATTCATTTTTAGGTGATATCAGATGTGACTTAAGACATGCCATTTCAAATACCAACTGACCATTTCCAGCCTTTTTCTATGAGTTTTCTCTGAGGTAATTTAAGTCCTTTATCATTAGGGAAATTTGAAAGGCAAACTATTGCATTGAAAAAAATTACAAGAACTTGGTTTGGGTCTCAGTTTCACTGTGAGCAGTGGGCTGCCTGTGAGCAAGTTTCCAAACTCTCTGAACCTGATGAAGTTTCCATTTTCATAAAAGAATGAAATATTGACCTGATCAACTTGTGAGCTTGAAATATATAACATGCCTGGCTCATGTCAGATGTTCATTCACAGTTAGTGAGATTTTGTTCAGTTTGGGTTTGCTTAATGCTCCAATTAAGTGGCCAGATTTTTTTTTAAATCTGATGTGTGAAGATTAATCACAAGAGCCTTTCATTTTCAAGATCTCTTCCAAAGTCTCTGAACCCTTTTCTGAATTTAAAACTTCCAACCATTTCTGGAAATAGAGACTTTTCCCAAATTATATATGATCAGAGTCCCATAGAATATGGATCTGCCCTGGGTTAGATAGGATACAAGCCTTCCCTACATATCCTCTACATCAAAGCTTCTTTTAAGACAATTTTTACAAATACTTTTGCTAAAGTTTTCAGTGTCACTTGAAGGTTGTGTGTGACAGAAATATGATATTAAATTAGAAAAGCCACAGCATGTTAATTCATGTTGGTCGTCCTAGGACTAGCCACAAAAAAATTTCAATTGAATGAAGGTGAGTAAAATGTTCACTGTTAAAAGGAGGTGGTGGGTAGACTAGTTATTATTAATAGCATCTTAGACTACATATGTGGCAGGTGGTAGCAAATAGTAAAGGACAAAAATGGCATTGCTCACTGAAGCATAGCCTCTTTAAATTTCATGTTGTGACATTTGGCAGGCAGAACTATGATAGAATATTAAAACATTTAATGGGCAGGCAGCATCCCAACTCACCTTCCTCTCTGCCCTTGCTTGTGAATGATTCCAAGAGGAAGAACACTTGCTATTCTGATGTAGTATTTTCTACAGCCAATCAGCAATGTTTATTTCCTAACATTCTGATGCTCATGTCTTCAACCTGGAGTATGAATTCCAAGGAGTATCTTTGCCTTATAATGATGTGTGTGGATATTACAGTGAAAAGCTTTTCACAAGAAGCAATCCTCCAAACCAGAGGCCAAGTAGTATTGACAGGGAGTTAGTTGATGTTCTGTATCAGAATCTAGTACAGGAAAAAAGGAGGGTGACATTTTAGATGACCATTAAAGGTGGAGGAACTTGAAGTAATTTTTCTTGAAGTAGAAAGCTAGGTCATCTGCTGATTGGAAATGTTTGGTGAGAAACCCCTGGAAGAGTGATGGCATGAGCTTTGGAATTGCACCTGAGCAGTGGGAAAAGAAAGCCATCCAGGCAGAAGTACAAAATACCGCTTTATAGTGCTAAAGGTCAAATTGACTTTGGAAGCTGAAGATCTGTCATGCTCTGAATCAGTAGTTATACACTTTCTCCTATTAGTAACTGGCAAACTGAAAGCTATAATTGAGGAAAACATGGTGGATTCTTGCCTGGAACCTGGCAGAACCAATAAGCAGAAATTCAGGGAAGAAGGGTCTGAGAATGTTGGTGAGAGTGTCCCATCAAAAGGTTTGCCTCAGGCCGGGCGGCGGCGGTGCACACCTTTAATCCCAGCACTCGGGAGGCAGAGCCAGGTGGAGCTCTGTGAGTTCAAGGCCAGCCTGGCCTACAGAGCAAGTTCCACGACAGGCTCCAAAGCTACACAGAGAAACCCTATCTCGAAAAACAAACAAACAAACAAACAAACCAAAAAAAGTTTGCCTAAGTCTTTGGGGTATTCAGGATACAAAAAATGATAACAAACAAGAGAGAGAACAAACAAGAAAGGAGTTGAGATTGAAGAGTGTGGGGTAGAAGAATAGAGGTTTGAGTCAATGGATGTGCATCTTATGAAATAACTTGTGGAGATTCATCACCAGTTAGATAATCATAGTAACAGTCATAATGTCTTCTGCAGGAACTTTGTATCTTTCGCTTCCTTTCACTGCATAATCACTGAAATTCATGTGCTATCTCAAAATAGGCCTTACAACAGGTTATTCACAATGACCTCATCCAATGTTAGAGCATTTGGTTTTAGTATCTGTTAAGAAAAAGCGTGATTGCTCTATAATTAGAGAACTCTGAACCATTTTAGTGTTAGTTTTGCCAGCGGAAAGTCAAATTAGTCTAATTAAGTCAGGTCTCCAAAAGTAGAGGCAATTATTTTCATATTAATGCCAGAGATTAGGGGGAAAGGAAGAGGGAGAGAGGAAGAGTGGGAGGGAATTACATTTCTATGTTGTTTGTTATAATCGTTTTGTTGGCTCCTTCCCCTTAACTTTTTTTTTTTTTAAATAATTTATTGGGGTTTTGTTTTGTTTTGAGACAGGGTCTCATTATGTAGCCTTGGCTGGCCTGGAGCTCAATAAGTAGACCTTGACCGACCTTGAACTCACAGAGAACTACCTATATCAGCCTCCCAACTGCTGGAATTAAATGCACCACCACACTCTCATTTTTATTTTTAACTGTATGTGTATGTGTGAGTATATGCACATGAGTGTGATACCCAAAGAGGCCAGAAGAGGGCAGTGGATCCCTTGGAGCTAGAGTTACAGGTGGTGATTAGCTGCCTGACTTGGATGTTAGGATCTGAACTTGGGTTCTCTGTAAAAGCAGTTTGCACTCTTAACCACTAAGCTAGCTCTTCAGTTCCCCCAACCCCTTGCTTAGCTCTTTTTATAGTTGTCCCAACCTAGTCTGTACCTACATTTAAAAAGAACACAACCACTTGAGGCAGTTGAGATGAATTTCTGTTACTCTTGGGAGTTTTCAGTTGGTTTTTTTTAAAGTAATACTTTGTCTTAACGTTTCCAGATTCTTGGTATAATGGTCTTCAAACAAGTGTATGAATTTTCACAAAGACTTTTCTTGAAAAGTCTAAGCAAGGTCTGGGAAATGGCTCAGCATGATGAACTGAGTTCAAATCCCAGAACCCATGCAAACATGGCCATGTGTATACCTGTAACCCCAACACTGTAAGATGTGGAGTCAAGAGGATTGATGGTGCTTGCTGGTTTCCAGACAATTCCAGGTTCATTGAGAGATCCTGTCTGAAGGGAATAAGGCAAAGAATAATAGAGCGGGACACTAGACACCCTCCCCTGACCTCCATTGCACAGATGCGCACACTCACAACCCCCCTTCCTGCAACACACACAAAAGAAGAAAGAAAAACAGAGAAGAAAAGGATATTTTTTAGAGAATCTTTTTCTGGACCCTCAGTTTCCACGAGAATTCCCCACTAATATGGATGTGCCCGAGAGTGCTTCTTAGTCTCGTTCCCACCTCCCTTTCCAAGTGTATTTTGCTCACTTAAAGAATGGAATGCATTGTAACCATCTTGAATCTTATTTCAGTGACTTGTTTTGAGAGTATATAAATTTTTTTTAGTTTTTTTACTTAAAATTTTTTTTTATTCATTTCACATACCAACAACAGATCCCACTCTCATCCCTCCTCCCACTCTCCCCACCCCCACATAACCTAGTCTGAGAGTGTATAAATTCTTAAAGGCATTCAAACTTACAATTCAAAATGTTGGTGTGGAGGCTAATAAGAGTAAAGGACCATCAGTGACCAGGAAGTCTGGTTCCACTTCTCTGCTTTCAGCAAAAAGAAGGGCTATCTAATTTGGATTACCAGCTTAGGTTTATTAGAGTTAAATCTTGATAATGAATTACTATTTGAATTTTGGCTTATAATTCAGAAGGAGTTTCAAACATTTGAAAGACACCGCTATAATAAATACCTTATCCCCACTTACTTATTTATATAAACAAGGTTTTTTTTTTTCCCCCAGTGAGGATTACATTAATACAAACAATACGAATGGAATTGATTCTGAAAGGCTATCTCATTCAAGGAGTAAGTATGAACTCATGGACCAACCCGGGGGTGGGGGGTGGGGGATGCTGTCATATTTAATAGAATTGCTTTACTTAGAAACTGTTTTTGGAACAGACAGAACTTTTGTCACAAACATGCTGTGTCAGAAACAGACAAATCGACTTGTATCTTTCTACAGTGTCAGAATTGATTGAATAATAATAAATCCACAGGCGCCTTCCATTTCCTTGGCTGAAGTTTGCCAAGTAGTCTCGGTTTCCCTCGGTAGTTAGTCAAGGAATACACAATCCTTTGATTCCAGTCTTGACTTTCAGTGTCAACAGTCAGATCACACATTGCATGCACTTTTTCTCCAGAAAATGTACTTCTCTGTATCTGGAGATGTAAGCCAAAGGATGGCTGCAAAGGGCTAAAGAGGCTGCCACAGGGTTCAAGGGGTGCCAGAGAGGAGGCCTTCCTGTAAGGAGGAGCAAGCAGGTTGATACAGATGGGGAGAGACTCATTGCCGATGGTTAAGTAAGTCAACAAGCCCTGTTAAAAGGGCTGGTCGCTCGGCCAGGGTTGAGCAGCCTGAGGATCCAGCAGAGCTACCTAAGAGTGGGACCGTGGAGACCATAGGGTCACTGTACAAACCTGGATCCAGACAGATAAATGGGCAAGTAGGCTGTATCAGCTGTGAGGACTGAGCTGAAGCCGCTGGAACAGCTGGGAGTCCTCTGCCTGTGGGTCCCTCAAGCACACTTCACATTGGGTTGGTGGAGACTCACCCTCTTTATGGGTTCAGGTGAGTATGTTACACCTTTTTCTCAGTCTGATATGCTTGAGACTAAAAATGGAGGAAAATGTCGCTTGTAACCTGGGAGCTACCCGGGGCGAGCTTGAAAAACCACTGTATGGAGTATTTTAGAGCTGGAAACAGTCTGATTTCGACAGTTTTGACTGCTGGATGAGAGTCTATTTTATTTAGGTATTGTCAGATATGAGTGTAGACGGTTCATTAAATATAAGTGATTATGAGAGAGATTTATTTGTGAGTTTGAGACAACCCTGGTGTATGTAGTTCTAGGCCAACCAAAAGTATGTAGTAAGAACCTGTCTCAAAAAAAGAAAAGACAGATCTATTTGAAAATATCAATATTATAACATTCCAGAAATTATATTTTTGTACCTAATTAAAATTAGCGTGGAAACATGTAATATTTATTTTGTTATCGGTGTATGGTTGGGGGAATATGCCACAGAGTACATGTGGAGGTCAGAGAACAACTTCGTGGAATCATTTCTCTCCACCCACCCTTAGTGGGGTTCCAGGAATTGATCGCAGTTGTCAGGCTTTGGTGGCAAAAGCTTTTTCTTGTAGAGACATCTTGCCAGCCCTAAAATCAAACATTTTAGGTGTCAACTTAAAAACATGTGACATGGTACCTACTACCTACTTTTCTCCAAAATTTTCTGTAGTATATAAGCAAAATGTCTTAGAGACCACTGCTCTAGGGCAGAAGTTCTCTTTCTTTGATGGGATTTACGAATACCCTGGGGGGAGCTTGTGAAAGCAGCTGGTTTTCAGGCTCAGGTCCCAGAGATTCTCACTGGCGACTGTGTGGCTTTAACAAGTGTTCCCTGGTGATTCTGACATGAATCCCGTGGACCTATCTTCAGGAAAAACTGCCTCAAATTTTCTTCTTCAATCACAATGAATCAGCAGAAAGGCAACATGACTTGGGTAAGTTTTTTTTTTTTTCTTTTTTTTCTGGGCCATCTGTAAAAGTGCTGCTTCTGACTTTTATGTTCTGTCACACTTGCACCCTTCAACTTAGATGCCCTCAGAGTTCTACTGCAGAGGAGGAAGCATTCCAGCATTTGTAAAGAGAATGATTCAGAACATGATCCCATGGTGAACTCTCCCTGGCCGTCACTACTGTCCATAGATGGCCATGTATCACACATTTCTTTCAGAATAAGTGAAAGAATGTTTTTGTTGGGTAGGGGAACACTGGACAGATTAGTAGGCCACATTTGTTTTTATTTCCTTATGTTTCAATAGGGAGCTCAGAGGCAATTTTGAATATTTCAGCCTTAACTCCTGCATAAGACCTAATTTCTTGGTCTTGATTTTTTTTAATTAGTTTCTTAAATTATTTTTCATATTTTCATAAACCACCTGACCCTTTGTTAGTAAGTATAGAGAAAAAAAGTTTACCTCTGTGTATATTTTTAAATATGTGGATACATAGATTAGACCAAAAGGTTTTTTTGTTTTGTTTGGTTTGGTTTTGGCTTTTTGTTATTGTTCGTGGTGTGGTGGTGGTAGTGGTATTGGTTTACTCACATGTGCCTATAAAGAAACTTTGCTTCTAGAAGGCTGGACTGATGAACTTCAGTATAATATTTTGGGGCACCCCACTGAAAGGCATATTGGGATTTCAGGACCACAGTCAGGTTGAGGGAAGTAAGAGATCAAATGCATTCAGAAGAAATGGAAGTTAAGTGCCCAGACAGACTTCAGCCCCATCAAGGAGCTGTACAACTGTAGTTAGTAGCAAGTGGAAAAAGAAAGTGGAATCTCTCAAGAGGGAGTAGTTAAGTCGGTCAGTAAGAGTTTACAGATACACAGAATTCACCTGAAAGAAAATCTAGAGGATTCTTAACAGGATGGTAACTATGATGGTGCCAGGATTTCTCCAAATACATTTAAAATCTTTTAAGAACCCTTGACAACAATTTTTGTTTTGTAAAAGATAAAGGCTAAAAAGGAACTCAAGAACCATTTATTTGTCCTACAGTTTTTATTATCTTTCTTTGACAATTTCATCCATGTATATAATGTGTTCTGATTACTCTCTCCCCCACATCTTGCATTTCTTTAGACTAGACTTGCCTAGCCTTAAGTTTATATAGAAAAATGAGACAAAAAAATTGTTCTTAGGATTTGCCAGGTTTAGATGGGGGTCCTGCAAAGGATGGGAATCTCCTTTTGTGAATATGAGAAGGATGCTCCTCGTAGTCAGTAGGGCACCTTAGGAGCAAGGCTTGGCAAGGGAAAGGGGTGAAGACAGCTCTCACTTGCTCTTTAATGAGAATGTCTTTATCAGTGAAACAGCTCCATGTCCACACACAGGTTAAACACGTCATATGTGAGAAGGTAGGATGAGAGGTAACACTGTGAGACAGCAGAGGCCTTGTCTACAGTGTGCTATGAGGATGGAGCTTCAGCTCCACTGAAAATACGACTCAGTCCTTTTGATACCTAATCATTTTCAAGAGAAGATAGAAGTCTAGATGTTTTGTGTGACCTCCTGACTTTTTGGTTTTTGTTTTTTTGGGGTTTTTTTGTTTGTTGGTTGGTTTGTTTGTTTTGAAACAGGGTTTCTCTATATAGCCTTGATTGTCCTGGTACTCTGTCTGTAAACCAGGCTGGCCTCAAACTCAGAGATCCACCTGACTCTGCCTCCCCGAGTGCTGGGATTAAAGGTGTGGGCCACTGGTGGGAGCCATGTGACTTCTTTGGGAAACAAGGCCTGAGAATAGCACAAACGGCTCTCCTTGTGGCAAAGTCCTGGAGACCCTGCTCCACTTGGCAAAGACCCATGGACAGTTTGCTGTGTGATTCCGGGCATGACCCCAGGGGCATATGTGCTACCTGGTCTCCTAGTTTGCACCGTGCTAGCCATACTGCCAGCCTGAATGAATCACAGTAGGTCATGAAGTTTAATATTACATATTTGCATAACTGTTCTGGAAAGAATGATTTTAGTCACACGTGTCTTTGAGAATTGTTATTAAATAGATGGTATCAAGAGTTAATGGGAACAAGGAATGAAGTAGAACCATAGAAACCCACAGTTTCCTCATTTCTAGTAACTGTGCCAATACCCCCAAGAAGTTAAGGGAGAAGAGCATGAGAGCAAGGGATAAACAATGCCAGCTATTAAGAGTAAGTTTCCAAGTTATATTGCTTATAGGATAAAAGGAAAAGCCTGGTATATCCCCAGAGGAGATAAAGTAGTACAGAATGTAGAATGAACTGATCCAGCTTTGGCTGGTGATTTAATTGTGAGAACCCAGACGCTACCAGTTGTAAATATTAACCACAAGAGACAAAACTCTCTCTCACCCTGCATGATGCTGTAACTACAAATGCTGCCAACTGGGCACACTGTTCTACCTGTGGGTGTGCCTAGTTAGAAACTTCCTTTGTAGCTTGCAAGACGGCTTATGCTTCCAAGAGTAGAGTTATAGATCTAAAAGGTAATGGCTAGTGGTGGGTGAGCTGGGGGACAGAAAGCAAAAGAGGCAAGGAACAAACTGGTAATTATTGTAACCATTTTTAGAAACTTAAAGAAGCAAAACTGATTGTAAAACAGTTCATGCAAACCATTGAAACTGCATAAATAAAAACAGCCCAGGCTATCCAGGGCCACTTGTTTGAACAACAGGTGGTCACAATTTCATCATGGTGCCAGCTTCACACATCCATCCCAGGTCATTGAACCCGTCTGGAGCAAGGCTTCCAGCAGGCCACCACCGCCCAGCAGATGTCTGACTTTTAAGTGCTGTATGAACCAACTGTTTCTTTGAGGGCTACATTTGACTTGCAGCCTGCATATTTGGGAAAGTCAACTCAATGACATCAGGTTTTGTTTTGGTTTGGTTTTGTTTTTTTTCCTGTACCAAGATTTTCTTTTTGCATTGAAATAGTTTTCAAAAGAAGCATTTACATGTAGATAGTTAAACTGCATTTTGTTTAAAATATATGGAATACCGACTTGCTATCATTTCTCAGTTTGATAGATTTAGACTCAATGTGTCAAGTGAATGGTAGGTAACCCTTCCAAACCAAACCAAACTCAAAGCAACATATACTTTAATACCTGTATTAGCCACTTTTCACTCTTGTGATCAGAATACATGCCAGGATGATTCAAAGGAAGGAAAGTTGAATTTGGCTCCTAGTTTCACAGAGATTTCAGCCTGTCATGGAAAGGGAGCTCATTGCAGAACGGCTAAGCTCAGAGAGGTGAGTGGCAGTGGTTCACTGGGCAGCAAACATAAGACAGAGAAAGTGATCTGCTTCTTCCACCCAGCCTCCACTATTGAAAAGCCACAGTTTTCAAAATAGTGCCCAAGCTGGGGAGTAAGTGCCATAAGCCCATGGGGGACATTGCAAATTCAAAGCATTAGTAGTATCCATTGTTAGGCATTACAGGGAGACCACAGACGAAGCATGTATTAGATAAAATGTAACATTTGTCAAGGCTTAAAGATATATAACGGATCTCAAATTCAGCAATCTAGTCACATTACATGAATGAAATGACATGCAGGTTCAATAGTTGAAACAGAGCAAAGAATTCTCTAAATTTGCTTTAGCTGTGTCTTCGTGTTCTTACGCCACTTTGACAGAAATGATTGGATAGTCTAGAGGTTTTTGCTACTAGTTTTATTTTTAATTTAGTAATAACCATTTGTAATTTTCTAAAAAAATAATTATGTGCCTCTATATTGCTTCAACATCAAATGCTAAAAGAAAGCTGGCATTTGTCAGAGTAGACTTTCTTCTATATTATCAGCATTTTCCTGGAGGTTTTCATTTGCATTTTCAAATAAATAATTAAGGCACTATAAATAATAATTAGGAATATACATAGAAGCAATGTCAGAGCAGAGCTTTTATTTTTAACAACTTTATAGTTCTGATGACAAATTCAAGAATCTTCTGGGTGTATACACTGCTTTTTTACACACATGCACATGCATACACCAATTATTCAATCTTGTTTAAGATACTAACTCATACTTGCTTTACAATTTAGTTTAGGTGCATTATAGCAACCTTTAAATATTATTTTAAAAGCTATCAAAACATTATGAATTACAAAACATTTTAAGTAAATGAAATTTTACTGCATGGGTATGTATATTATAAACCTAATCTATAAACTAAGCAGCTTTTACTAATAAATAAACTAAAGCACATTTCATAGTAGCATATCATGATAATAAAAGATCTGAATTAGAATAGAAACTCTAAATTTTGTAATTCATTAAGAACTATTGACTCCTGTGTCCAAATGGTCACAAAGCTTGATTTAAGGGGTTTATGCTAATTAAAATTTCTTTGGAAATTATAATATAGATAAACACTCAAAAATATGTCTGTCCTGCCTGTAGTTAAGAGCACTTGTTCTTGCAGAGAACCCAGATTGGAGTCCCAGCACCTACATGGTGGCTTATAATTGTCTATCATTCCAGCTCCAGGGGACTGATGCCCTCTTCTGGCCTCCACAGGCACTAGCCACACACATGGTGCTCAGACATGCATGCAGATAAAACACTCACACACATAATAAAATAAAAAAGTCTGCCCTAGAAACAGAGGCATTTTAAAAGATTAAGCATGTTAATAGCTGTGCTGAGAAGTTTCCCCTGAACCCTTTCTTGGGTATGAGATCCTAAGAGACAGATGTGTTCTTTTGTCTTGTTCACTGAACAGACTCACTGGTCATTAAATCAAATTGGAGTGGAGAGTTGAAAGCATCAGCATTTTTTTCAGCTGAAAACTTTTCACGTGTCATGTATAACCGTCATTAATGCACAGCCTTGCTACTTCATTTCACTTTCTTATTGTCTAGTCCAGAGTTAGACTTACAGCTGGTTTGAGTTCAGGCTCTCTTTTCTAGTGGTGAAGAGGTCTAAGGATATATGTCTGATTCCAGGCTGGCTAATGAAACACAAAGGGAAGACCTTTGGTGTTCCTGGGCAAGAGTTTTTCTCTAATAAAAAGAGAAGGAAAAATAAAAAAAAGAAAGAAACCTAAAGAGCACATACATTTACTCTCTACTTTCTTTCCTACTTTGGATACTGTCCCAGAAGGACAGAAAACATGGAGCTACAGTAGCCATTTGGAAACAATGAGATAGAAAGCCAAAAGAATCACAAAGAAACCAAACACCTTGAGATGAAGGAGCTTTGAGATTCTGAAACAACCTTTGAACCACTAGGTCCAGGATTCTTATGACATAATTAGATGCTATTGTTTAATCAATGGCTAGTTGAATTTCTTTTTACTTGTAGCTAAATGTATTCTACCTGTAATACCATATAATTGTATGGCCTGCATTGTGTCAGAGATGGCTCATTCTGACTTGTAAAATAATTACACACTCCCACAATTCTATATCCAGTGACTTCAAGTTGGTAACTTTGGGCTTTACATGATCTATGGTGGAAGTTGTTATGTTACAGAACTGGCCCCAAAGTACAAATTTTTGTTTGGTTTTGTTTTCTCAGAGAACAGGTTATTAATCGTTTATCAGTACCATATTGCTATGGAAAATACATTATCAACTACTGTGCTACATATGACTCTTTTTAAAATCACATCTATGAGGGGCTGGAGAGATGGCTCCATGGCTATGGACACTGGCTGCTCTCCCAGTGGTTCTGGGTTAAGTTCCCAGCACCCACACAGCAGCTACCATGGTCTGTAACTCCAGGAATCCAAAGCCATCTTCTGACCTCAGCAGGCACTGCATGCACATGGGTCATTATTTTGTGTGCACACGTGTATGGGTGTGTATGTGCTGTTGCACACGTGGAGATCAGGGGACAACTTGTAGGAGTTGGTTCTCTCCCTTCTACCATGAGAGTCCTGGCAAGGAAACTCAGGTCATCAGGCCTAACAGTCTGTGCCTCTATCTGCTGGGCCACCTTGCCAGTCCCCTACCATCCTTTAAAGTGATTTTTAAATAAAAAAATTTTTTTTTTGAAAATTTCATACATGACTATTTTGTATTTACAAATAACAAATGGGTAATGAGTATGTCAAAACATTTTAAGTTACAGTATTTTAGAAATGAAAGAGACTAGTAAATTTAAGGGAAGCAAAATAAAGTCTCAAATTATTTTAAAACCAACCCAATATTATGTGTAACTAATTAATAGCAGAGTTAAGTTTACAATTTGACTCTTGCTTTCAAAAACTTTTGTGGTGGATTAGAATCCAGAGCCTCACATATGTTAGCCAAGCAGCCTATATTTAGCTATTCTATTAGCCATTACAATTTGATTCTTTATTCCCATTTTAGTGAACGTACCAGTATACCACAGAGCACTATATAATTTATATAACAGTGATAATAACAATAATTCATTGCTTGCCATATCTAGCCTCAAATTAAAATAGTAAGTTGGGGATGCATGATTTTCTATAAATGCATCAGCTTAGGTTTCATAATGCATATAATCTGCGTTTAATTAGATATTCCAAAATTTGGTCTATTCAGCAAAGATGCAGCTCTTGAAGAAGGCTGACATATGGGAAGTGTGAACGTGAGATCACAAGCTGCCAACAACCTTTAATCATCATTATTCACAGTAAGTCCTGATGAGTAACCAGATGATCAGAATGAGCTTTGTCTGCCCAAGTGCATCAAGTATCCTCTCACAGAGGGAATGAGCTGCCCACAGTCCTTCTCCAATGGCCAGAGAATTGTCAGCCCAAGTCTGAGATCTTCTACTCAAGTAAAAATCACTGGACAGTCTTGAAAGATAGAAATTGCACTGTGAGTTGAAATGCATTCTTTAAAGAATAGTGGCTGAACCCCTGAGACAATATAAGGCTGACAACTCAAGTCTGAAACAGTTGGACACATCTGCCAGCAAAGATCAGATAATGAAGATACTCAAAATTTGTCAAAACTTCCCAGTACTGGTGAAAGTTAAAACTGGAACATTTCTGGAAAGTAATTAGGTGATATACTACATATCAAAAAACTTAATAAACGTGTTGCAAAATTTTGTTATGTTAACTGTGGGAGAATATGAATAAAATAATTTACTATGTTTCTATTTGAGGAGACAGTTCAATTTGCAAAATGTAAAGAAATGTTTATGGGGAGATTTTATGGCAGGTAAAAGTGCTTGTTGCACAGCATGAGGTTCCGAGTTCAGTTCTCCAGCACCTACATAAAAGGGGTATGTGTACACACACACACACACACACACACACACACACGCACGCACGCACGCACGCACGCACACACACACAACAAAACAAGTTTTCTCTTAAAATTGTATTTATTTTGCATGTATGTGGTGTATGTTGTTTGTAGTGTGTGTATCCACATGTTCATGTGGATGCGTATATTAGTACATTCAGGGACACATGGATGTGGGGGCCGGAGATCTCCTCAGTTGCTCTCCACTTTACTTGTCTAGACAGGGTCTCTCACTGAATCCTGCACTCAATGATGCCAGGCCTGCTGGCCAGAGAGCTCCAGGGACCTGCTTCTCTCAGCCTTCCCAGTGCTGGGGTTATAGGCAGGCACCACTCAGCATGCCTTTTTTTATGTGAGATGGAGATACAAACTCAGGTCCTCTTGCTTGCCTGGCAGGCAGGCACTTTACTAATTGACCCATATTACCAGCCCACTTAGTATTCATGTCAGAAATTGTAATCTTGGTGACTAATTTTACAGAAGTTTGATAGCTGTAAAGATTAATGAGCATTAATTATAGATTTGTGAAAATTGGAAACAACTTAAAAGTCTAGGAACTGTGAGATAAATGAATTAATTTTGATGTATCCAGGCAATGACATTTAATGGAGCCATTAGAATAATATTTTAGGGATGTTTGAGAAAATGCTAAAAATACAATGTCAAGTAAAAAATATGAGATGTTAGACTCCATTTGTGTATGTTTTTGGAAGTCTGAAAAATGCATTAAAATCAAGATTTTTTTTTAAAAGTATGTCATTCCTCCTTTTTTCTGAAAATTTCAAGTTTCTCTAATGAGCATGTGTAAATCTTTAAAATTAAAAAATTGTTCTTATAAAATCAAATCATACTAATTGTATAAGTAGAAAGTACAGTGAGTAAGCTTTTCAAACATTCCACTAAAGGGAACCCCATGATCACTAAATGAGCTTTTTATGGCTTGTGTAATGGCAGAATGGGCCACAAGTTGAGTATTGTGAAATTGTTTTTAAAATGAAGTATCTTAAAATTGAAAAGAAAAAAGTGTAGTGTAAAAGAAAGAAGATATGGAAACACATATTTATAAAGATTATATGAAATTAAAAACAAAACTCTTCAAGTCACTTGGAAAACATTCTGATGACAAAGGACAACTGTCTCAATTAGCATTAAAATTGAAAACTATGTTCCCTCTTCACGTCCCCATGAAACAAAGTGGACTGACTGACAGGGGCTGACTCTATGGGTATCATAGAGCTGGGGGAAGAAGAGAGACGCAGGTGTTAGGAATTGAGAAGGGGCTGGAGAAATGGCTCAGCCGTGAAGAGTTGCTTGTGCACATGATGAAGATGGGAGTTTGGATCCCACCATCCCCGGAACAAGAAGAGTGTCCTACACAATGTTTAGGACTCCATCTCCAAGAGATCTGATGCCCTCTTCTGGCCTCCGTATCTCTCTCTCTCTCTCTCTCTCTCTCTCTCTCTCTCTCTCTCTCTCTCTCTCACACACACACACACACACACACACACACACACACACACAC